CAAAGCGGCGGTGGGAAAAAAGGGTTTGGGGGACGTATCATGAACCACCATGGAATCAAAAAAGAAGGATTGGAACAGCGTAGCGTACTCACCCGTTGAAGCAGGTACAGGTGGATGATCAGTCCACCCCTCCCTCGTCATACCGAGCTTCATTGCGTACGGTGGGTATGACGAGCAGTACGCCCCTGCTTTGAAAACAAGGAAAGCCCTTAGGGACAGGGTTTGACACACACACACACACACAAACACGTGAAGCGCACAACACCCCAGCATGCGAACCAGTCTGTGTCGTTTTCCTTGTGTACCATATTCAGTTTGCCATGGACTCTAAGGTGATCCTCAGAACGAACTTCCTAGACCCTCCACTCGCCAAGGCCATGGCTCTGATCTTCTCGTACCCACTGGTGAAGCCTAGAGCGATGCTGGAAAGATCTTCATCCTCGGCTGCGCTCGCCGGTGGCCCCATCTTCAGCATCATTGCCCAGCACACGTGACAGGTAGCAACAACTTGAGCCCCGTTTGAGGATCATAGCGATGGCCTCCAACCTAATGGCGATGACCACATACATGATTCCTCCTGATACATGACCACGTACGACGACGTCTTGGACGTGACGATGCAAAATATGCAAAACACACTGATGACTCCTGGCATCGCCTGGAGGAGTTGTTTCAGTTCAAGGTCAAACCTTGCTGGGAGAATAGAAACCCAAGAGAAAGAATACCCTAAAAGCTAAGCCCGGGGTTCACCGGAGGGTTCACGTTGCTGCAGATTTGCGGCAATTTGGGGTCCAACCCAGCCAGATCAGATGAGTACACGCTTGCATGCACAGGATCTGTTGCACCTCCTCTCTCCTTGGCAAGGAGCAGCAAGAGATCGCAGCAATCTTTCCTGATCCATGGGGCTTGTGCACGCGCACACACACACACACTCACTCATTCTCTACACATTTGAGGGTGTGTAAAATTGTTCTCCAGCAGTCGAATGCCATGTGGGGATGTGTCAAAACCTGGAGCCCCAACACCATGTAGCTTGACCTCCCAGGTAGGTCAATACCATGTCCTTGGCATGAGCTTGCAATCGCTTTCAGGGTCAACACAGGTCTTCAACTGCCCACATGGATTAACTTGGTCGAAGGACAGCGGGCACGACCACATCAGGGGCTCGATCCCAAAGTTTTGGCCCTTCCCAAAAAACTCAAGTCCTTGCGTGAACAATCCGATGTCTTGCGCAGTATCGTGCAATATTTGCAAGGGTTCTTGACCGAGAAAATTATCCCTGACCAAAGCAAAACAGGCTCCAACCAATTTTGGGGCCGGACATACACTGGAGGCTTCCCATTACGTCCTGAAGTCCCAACTGGTCTTTGGTCGACAAGACTTTGAATCGATACACATTGGATCTCCAGTGTAAACCACCTTACCATCCTGATGGATCAAGCCCGATGATGCACACGCAAGCATATTTTAAACCCATTCCAGCAGTGACAGTTTATCGTACGACCAATTTTCTGTGTCGCTTACCGTGCCAATACCGTAATTGAGATCTTGATGTCCTGACTTTGCCTTCTTTCCTGCCGCACGGATATTCAGTCTCACTTGTACAGTAGCTTTACGTGCATATAGTGTGTTTCTGTGAAGGGCTATGTACCACTCACACCCAGAACCCAGCTGAGCTGAAGGTCTGTGGGGCGCGCGCTCAAACAATCGCAAGTACGGCCGGTAGGTCAATCAAGGTATCCTGTTTGTTACCCACAGCTATGTCCTAATCAGCCATGGATCAGTGTCACCCAAACGTCCACTAAGAGTCACTCAGGCGACCGCAACCTATCATTTCAGGATCCTTTTTTCAGGTTCTGCACCTTCATACAGGGAAATCCCGGTGCAACCACGTCAAGTGAGCGGTGCTTGCAAATCTACACTCCCTGGAATTATCATGGTTATGTGGATGGCATGGCCCCTTGGATGGCCCCTTCAATGACCAGTTTCCTTTGCAAGCCGGTGGTGTTCACTTCGATTTGCGCCATCCCGCCCGGGAGGGGCGCGGAAGGGAACTTGTGAAGACCCCCGCGAAGTACAGGGAAGGTGCACATCAACGTTAATTTATGCATTATAATATATAGAAGAAGAAGGAGAAGAAGAACTTAGAGAGAAAATCAAGTAGATGAACAGAAACCAAGTGCAGGTTGCCATTGACAGGTTGTGGTGTTGCAGGAGCACACCACCCTGAATGGCTTCCATTCGCACATGTTCGCTGCATCGAGCAGGAATAGCCGCATAGCCTTCGAACAAAAGCTTCCACCTGGTGGAATTTAGTAGCAAGAAGCTACTAGGTTGGAGGCCATCGCTAATTACTAGTAACAAGAAGGATAAGAAAGAATTCGGTCTGGCTCCGCAGTCGGCACTCTTGGGTCTGCAACATGAGTGGCATCTGGGAGGCATCTCTCTGGGCCAAGTTGGAGCCTAGGATCGTCGCGGCTCGCGCTGCGGTTTTCGGAAGATCCCAGTCGATGTGAAAAACAACTAATATAATTGTTCATTAATCACGGGAAAAGCGCCTTCTGGGCGTGTTTCTGAGGGTCGCGGATGTCAGGCGGGCTCACAATCAGGGAGTTGCGAAATAGAGACAGATTTCACCTCAACATGCATCATTAATGCCTAAAAGATCCTAAAAGGACTCCCTTGCACAAACTGTTCCTTGTTCATCGATCGTCTACGACGACACCGGGTAATTACCCTGGTAGCGCAGTTATTGGTTCTTTGCTTTCGCTGGGCTCGCTGCAACCGAGTCACGAGTGCATTTTCGAATGAGCGCATCAATTGCAGGGGTGATTCCTTTCCTGATCAATGACTGGGGAGACTGGACTTGCCACTGATGGTATCCCTGGATCTCAAAATGAGTTCACCACACCTACCTGGTAGAAAAGAACATCGACCAACAGGGGATTTACACAGTTTGAGACGCCACAAACAATGCCCTCAGGCGACCTGTAATGAGCGAGCATAAAGCCAAAGCCATTATCAACACTCAACTAGCTGTGGTGCGCAGCAATCTGCAAAACACATCCTCAAAGATAGCCAATTCAGTGATTCCCTCCTTACATGTAGTTGAAATGCTTGAGCCCAGCACCACAACAGGCGTTCCCCATCTGGTGTTTTCGGCGGGTCTCTCATAGATGGACTTGTCTGTGACAACGTGGTTCAAGCATTCTGCTGCCATCTTCAAGATACCCTGAGACATGCGCCGGGACGCCTTCTCTATGCCTGAAAATAAAGCAACAATCGACACCAGAACTCAAAACAATTGGTTGGTGTATACTTCAACCTTACACATTTAAAGCAAATAACATCAAATAACTAAGATTGTTCAAATCATAGAGCAACATGTTGGGCTCAGCATTTCGCTGTGACATCCTGTGACATCCGGAGCCCAATTCTTTCTGGGTGGGGTGTGTGTTGACCCCGGTCTTTGAGCCACCAAGACATACAGTTGCAACGAGAGGAACATGCGAAGGAGTTTTCAAATAGGGGTAGAATCACTCGGATCCAAAAGCAATCAAAGGGTTACATAATTACTTTTGACACATTCTGACTAATTAGTGGTAGTAAACAGGTATCTCCTAGCATTGAGTATCTTTGCTGGTAAAAGCCATGTCCCGTCATGGTGACAATATTGTAGCATTAGAATCAGCCTTCATATATTTCCATTCACCATCATTCTCACACCCGAGCCCCTTCCCATGATGGGTGCATTTGGTCAGCTGAGTCAG